AGTGGGTGGTTCTTAATGTATTCAAGATTATTTCAGCAAAGTTCCAGCTCGAATGAAAGAGTTTTAAATTTGGAACGATTTTCGTCCAAGTGGCCCTTTAACAGCCCCGACGAAGAACTCACCGTAATTCAACCAAAAAATCACTTACTTGCTTTCAGTTTGTCTTTAAAAGTATTTTTGACCTTTCTTACTATAGTACTCAACTCAATTCAGCACATAACTAAGATTTGGAAAAGTTTAATCTTGAGGAATATTTCTGTGCATTCGAAAGTTATTTTACTTTACAACATCAGTATAGTATATGACATCATGCATTGGTAATTAATCTAGGGGATTCCCCCAACTTTTTGGTACTGTTGTTAGCCAATCAGATGTTAGTAACGCGAAGATGCTCGTCACTGAATTTGTCAAGCGATTTTAAATATTCTTAGAACTGAACATACAGTGGAACCCCGTTAATAAGGACACCGTTGGGACGGACAAAACTGTCCTTATTAACGGGGTGTCCCTATTAACCGAGGTGTCAGAAAAACAGCTGAAAACACATTTTTAAAGACCCATTGCCACTTACCGTGATGCATCACAATTTGTTTACATTTTGAATCGTGTCACAACCGAAAAAACAATTCCAACCTTTTGAATAAACTCTTAGATAGTCCCTAAAGCTGTAAAAGAATGTAAAAGAATCATTTTTGTGCCTTAGTGCTAAGGACACCCGTTAATAAGTACAAAGGACACATTTCTAGGACCTGAACAACAGTTTCCATTGATAAATAAAATACTTAATTACCTCGAACGGAGGCAATAAGCCTATACATCCCTCGGGCCTGCGGCCCTCGGGATGTATATGGCTTATTGCCTCCGTTCGAGGTAATTAACTCTTACTTGTTTATTGATATATGGAGCTTAGTACGGATTATATTGTCAGTTTTTTCATATCAACGGACCACACACTGATCATTGCAGTAGAGTTTGCTATTACAGCATAATGAAATAGACAAAGCTCGCAATACCACTGCACTGTTATTTCCCAGAACTCAACTACAAGTTAACAATTTTATCACTCACTGTTTCAATAATCATAATCATATCTGGCCGCCTCCCATGATTTAGTCTCGGTTTCAATGCCTTGGCCTTTTCACAGGTTTCTTTTTAACGAAATTATACAGCACAGTACAGTATAGTACAGAAATGATGTCGTGAGGCCCGAGGGATTTATAGGCTTATTGCCGACGTTCGAGGTATTTAAGTATTTTATTTATCAATGGAAACTGTTATTCAGGTCCTAGAAATGTGTCCTTTGTACTTATTAACGGGTGTCCTTATAAAGCGGATTAATTTAACAGAAAATGTATGGAGCTTTCGTCGGGACTTTGAAACCTGTCCTTAATAACGAGGTGTCCTTATTAAGCGGGTGTCCTTAGAGCGGGGTTCCACTGTAGTTAATATTATTAACTATGATTTAAGCTGATTGTTAATTTGTAATGAATAATTAACAATTATTCGCCGAAGGTGAAGTGAATATCGGGGAATATTTACCGAGACGCGAGTCTTCGAGCGGCGAGGTAAATATTCTCCGAAATTCACTGAGGCTGAGGCAAATAATTGTCTTAGTATAAATACACAGGTGATTCTTT